GGAGCATGTACAGACTGATATTAATCTTTAATAGGGCTGTCAAAATTGAGTGCAAACAAAACAACTGCTGTATAATGCCCTCCGCTATCTTAGTTTAATTGGTGACATGACTGCATCACATGACTAAAATGTGTCAACGTTTTCGAAAAGGTTCTGGGTTCGCTCTCCACACTGCAATGCGAAAACAGCGTTTTCAAATGTATCCACTTTGGAGAGCGTTTTCAAAACGCTGCGTTTTCCTTGATGAAGCGTTTCTCCCTCTGAAAACGCTACGTCCAGATGAACAGAATCAACTTTTGGGGATACTACCTCTCTTGCTAGATTGTATCACGTCATCTCAACAACAATAAATTTAACAAGTGTTAAGTTGTTGAATTTAATGCAGATCGTACATGATTTAATTACAATCACCATAGAAACATCAAATTATTTTCTAAAAATTAAAAGTTAGATTCTCGTAAATGTAACAACCATCCAGTTTCACTTTTTTGAGTGTAGATGAGTTAGCAAAATATAACATGAGTAGACAATGTCAGAAAATAATTGTACAAAAGGCCCCGTAGTTACGGTTTATCGCTGTTCAGTTGTTCAGTTTTTTAACGTGGCCAGTAGAGGTCAACCCACCGCTATTTGTGAGAGAGACTACGGGCAGGGAAAAACGTGGGCAAGGCACCTGAGCTTTTCTGCTCCAGGTTACCGGCAGAGAACTGGTCATTCCTTGAGAAGTGTGCGTTAATGAGCAACGTAAGTTTGTGATCTGTGAGTATAAGTGATGATAAGATCTGTTTGGGACTGTACCTGAGGTTAGTGGGGGAATGAGTGTGTTTCTGCCTGTGCAGCTAACGGTTGCTAAGCTAAGCTAACTCTCCTGTCATGTGGTTAGGTATAATCGTGTACTGTGTTAGTTCTCTCAGTAAGTCTATCCGTGAGGCGTGTGTAATATGACCTATAGTGTTGAAGGGGATGTTATTTTATTTCCCACCTGTGTTTATGTTGATCTACTCTTGAGTTATTGATGTGAACACGTTAGTAATGTAGTATGTTCATTCTGTCTCTTCTAGAAATCACACACACACACACCCCATGCACCTAACCCTGTATGCATACCTGCTCCTATGACAATACCACTGTTACTCCCACCTGTGTGAAGTCAATACAAGAGTCTGCACTATCCTCGGTGTCTTCATTGTCTCCCTTCTGAACATTCATCCGGGCCCTGAGCAGCGTTCTGGCCGACACTCCGGGGAGTGGTAGCTGCAAATCTGAACTAGCACCTTACAGTCCTCCCAGTCCAAGCTATCTACCCAACAATAATACTAAAATAAGTTCCTATTACTACCATTATCATAGTTATTTTTACTGGTGCTATGATAAAATTTAGGGTTGTGTGAGCAGCCCAACAAAGGTCTACTTGTGGATGCCCATATTGCCAAAAAGGCTTCAGGGGCCAAAGTTCAGCTCCGCCCTGGAGCATCTCCTTCGTGTCATTCCCGCTGTTTTCTTTCTGTTTTCCTGCCTGCTCTCCTCTGCTCTATCCCTAAAAATACATTTTTAATAAAACTTGTACTTAGTAGAAGAATGAAAAATGATCATTCATATAGTCATTATCTGCTGCTCATTGGTTTGTGGATTATCTGTGTGATTAATGTTAATGAAAGAACAAGAACGTCTGGTTGCTGCAGTAAAGTTTATTTCATTGTTGTACTGACAGTTAAAAGGAACCCTTTTCCAATTTGATAGATTGAGACATCAGAAAAAGCACAATGACTTTCTTAGCTGAGGGTGTAGGTGAAATAGAGATATCCACCTGTTGGGAGACTGCAGTAGCGCTTACGAGTTCCCTTCTGTATATTTGTAGCACAGATTCCCAGCAGGTCATCAAAAATCACATCTTTGTCATAAACTCTAAGCTCCAGGTAGTTGCCTGGCGAAGCTCTAGAATAGTGTAACTCTTCATGCCAGTTTGGGTCTGGGGTGTTGAAGACAACATTTGTTGTCTTGGATGCAGGGCCACAGGACATCCTGACATATCCATCTCCATTATTATTGCCCGGGTCAGGTCGAATACCTCTGGCATACACATTATACACCCTCAGGCCACACTGGGCGACATTCAGACCGCACAAGATCAGCAGGAGGAGACAAAGTCTGGAGGCCATGACTTCATAGAAGGCTGTGGAAGAAGAAAAACAACTAGCTTAGTATTTTTATTGTTTTTATATGTTATTAATTTTATTTGTTTTTTAAACATTTCTTTTATTTTATAGACAGTGATTAAGTAGATAATGACATCTATATTCCCGACCACAGTAGTGTTGAGATACATCTGGGGGATTCTGTCTGTAGCAAGTGACAGCAAGAGTTTCTATAGCAGTAGCTCTACAAGTAGTACTTGTTATTGATACTGCTACTTCTGTTAGTATAAGTATTAGCAGCATTATTAGTATTATTAGCTATAATTAGTATTATTTACCGCTAATATTATTATACGAGCATGCTGTAAAAATGCAGATTCAGCAGTAATCTGAGAACAAGATCGATTTGAACAAATGAAAAATGTTCAAAGCTAGATGTGAAGGCTTACCTCTTTCTAGACACCTTGCTTCTGCACTGCTTTTCTCACGCTCCTTGTTTTTATAGACCAGCCGAGCACGTATTAGATGAATAAATAAATAAATGTGCTGACGCACAGCCTGCCGAGCCTCATCCTTACACAATCGACAGACAAAGTTTGACCTTCATCAAATGTAGTAACCTTGTATAAAGAAACAAATTATTGCCTGTGGACTGGTTTTCAATGCACCCCTGAATGAAGAAGGATCAGTTATGATATGCTGCTCAGTGTAATACTCTGTCTACTTTACTTTGCAGTCTGTATTTATTGTTGAGTTTGTGTTTGTCTGTATTCTAGATGCACTTAACATGTCCATCTGATATGGGCATTGCAAATGAACAAAGTCTATAAATCCTGTCGTCCGTGGCAAAGTTTACACAACATACTAACCCATCTTTTATCTATGCAAATAAACATAAAAAAAAAAAAAGCTTCATAGACCTCCAACAGCATTGAGGTGGATTGCAGTTGAGTGTTAAATAGCTGGAAAGCAGTTCCTCCAAGTCTGACAGAATGGTTTTCAGGTAAGAAGGGTGGATGTGAATGTGTCACTAAATCAAATGCAGGAGTTATACTAAACAGGCAAACCACAGAAAGCTAGACATTGCTTAGCAATCTGAAGTGTGAAGCCATTGGTTCAAGAGAACAAGACTTCTTATTTCGTTAATGTCCATAGAAAAACGTCCATCAGCCCCTTTCTTCTGTGGCCTCACAAAACACTTTCCTGATTACTTCATGGGATTATTCTCTTTTTTCAAAGTCACATTGAACTGAATACAAGATAAAGTTCATTTGTTAAATTATGGTCAGAAAGGAGCATAATCTGAGGTGTGGTCAATAGTTAAAAATCCCTGGGTCTTAACAGCACAATCCACCCTTCACTTG